TAAGGTTGGAGAGCCCTGCTTTATGTTCTCACCTGCGTGCGAGACACAGTAACCTTCTCCGCAAAAACTGTCCACAGCACACTCTGGTAGCAGGGCGGCGTGGTGAGCGAGCCATTGTACCGGAAGTATCTGCCCAGGTCAGTGGGGAGCAGGGAGCGGACATTGAAGGAGGGGATAGGCATTTGCTGTCCTGCAGGGGGCAGTAAAAGGATTGCAGCAATTCAGTATGACGATGACAGGGAGTAGATGCTTAAAGCTACAGTACTGGGAATCTCTTTGGGAATCATGCTACAATCATGTGTTCATGACAGACACAGGACTTCATGGCGCTACTGTACAATGCGCCACCTTCAGGTCAAGGTTGGATTAGACAAGTGGACACACGGACACACCAAGAGTCTGACGCCACACATGAGCTGTTTGGCATGATTAGAAACTGACAGTGTTTGACATTGACCAACAGACACTAACGACACATTAGTGTCACCTGCATATTTGATGAATTCCAAGTACTTAAAGATGTTCTCATACGCAGAGTTATTGTCATCACCTGTCTGGGGGACAACAGGCCAATTAAACAGCAATAGGAGTAAACACATGAAATAGCCACAGAACTGGAACAAGATCTTATAGATTTCATAGGCTGCAAAAAGTGCATTTTCACATCACATTGCTGAAAAATGGTTGCAGTACTTTCGCCACGACAGGGTATCCAGTATCTGTGACATTTAAAGAGCCATCTTATTTCACCTCTACATTCCTTAAATGTCTCCTCTTAAATGACAAGGTTTCTCTTTGCAAAGGCCAGGAACCTCTACTTGTTCCAGCAGACTATGTCTCTATTCAATGTACTCTATGAAGACACAGTTTGGCGACACACATTATTGTTCAATTTGTAAGAAGTGGCTGCCATTTTTGTTTTGAGTGTGTTTGGCTTTGTGTTTTGGTACTTACAGAGTTAGGGGCACAATTGTCTTTTTGTTTCATCTTTGTTTTCTACATAATAAGTTAGCTTGGGGATTGCACTGAGTTAGCCTGTGTTTGTATTTGTTGCTTCGGCCTGGGTCACTTCCGATGTCTATCACTGGTGGGTTGTATCTGCTACATGTCAATTCGTCATTGTCCGTTTACCATGTATATAATAACCCCACCTCAAAATCACATTCTGTGGTCCGTTGTTTGGCTTCTCACCCCTCCATCCCACTCTATTATGGCCCAACCCTATGCTAGATATTAACCAGTGGTAGGCAGGGTTCCGCTAATCCGCTAACTGCTAATTGGCAAAGTTAACCTTTTTATTAGCGGATTAGCGTTTCTACTAACTTTGAAAACCATCAGTGGACCAATCAACTTCCGCTAAATATAGTTCCACTAATTGTAAATCCACTGACATTTTTTTGCAGGTAAACCCTAAAGTCATACATATTTGTTCCTGTCTGTTGTAAGCATGTCTGCAACAAATTATCTGAAACAAGGAGTGATTGGTCAATAACTTGTTGGTTATCCGGCTAAGCGAGAAATTCTGCTTTGTGATTCAGGCCCCCAGTTGTATTTTCTGGGTTATGATTGACAGAACTATAGACTAATAAAGAGCTGAGACCCGCCTTCCTAGTTCTGGAAGCTCCTTCCTCCCTCTGAGCCAGAACATGTCTCACAGACAAAATGTTAGATTGTAAGAATCTGACCAAATGACGGACCCCCTGCTGTTTCTACTGCTATTTCTGATCTTCATTTCAGCTGACATCTTTAAACACTTTGGAAAATCCTCGCTCTGTCTGTTTTTGACCAGAAATCTGTCATTCATGAGAAGTGGCGTAAATGGTGTGTGACTCAGGGATGAGCAGGGTTGGGGTAAAGAGGTTATGAAGGGAACAGCACCTCGATCAGCACTCCCAAAACCGCCAGGCCGTCTCGCTGGCTTTGGGCCACAGACACGTTGGGGTAGAGATCTGAATTGTAGTGGACCACATGGAGCTGAGGAGAACAAAAAACAGCATTAATCTGTGTGTGTGTGTGTGTGTGTGTGCGCGCACACACGTGGGAGTTCTCCACAGAATGTGTGTGGCTGTCTAATCCGTATAAAATCTCTCGGTCAGTCTGAATGAAGTTTATTAGTTCATTTATATTGGAAGCTCAGCAAGCAAGCAGGTGGGGGAGAGGGGGACGGGACGGCTGGGAGACATGTGGTCATGGGAGCCATTGAACAGGAAACACAGGGAAACTGGCCCACAGACTGAACCAATGCAGGTGGATCTTCCCTCCTCCTTTCCCTTTCACCTTTTTTCCCTTCCTCTCCCTCCATTGCTTGCTCTCTCCCAGTCGGTGAACCTGTGAAGGAGCAGCTGGGCCGCCTGCCTCTGGGCTGATTCCCGCATAATGCAGCCTCCCTCCTGCCCAAGACCGGACCAGCCAGGGGAGACGCTCCTCCACTGACTCCTGTCCTCTCACTTGGCTCCCTGGCTCACCCCCCCTTTGCATTTCAGCCTCTCTCTCTCTCTCCCCCACTCCCCCCCATTCTCCCCCTCTCTCTCCGTTACCCCCCAGTCTCTCTATCTCCTCCATTCTCCTCATCTCCACTCCCGACCCCCTCCCCAGCCCTGCAGCCCTCTCATCCAAGCACAGAGATGGGCTGTATGTGCATCATGCTGTTCAGTGCCCCCTCTTACACCCAGGCCCGCTTCAGCACGATGGGAACCGGCACCAAGATCAGCTGGAGCCCATTGAGCTTAGTCTTGTTCTTCCAGGTTGGATTTGCGTCCCCCTCATCTCCCTGTGCGGATCTCTGTTTGTGTCCCTGCATGTCCCTGTGTGTTTCCCTGTGTGTCCCTGCATGTCCCTGTGTGTCCCTGCATGTCCCTGTGTGTTTCCCTGTGTGTGTCTCAGTGTGTCCCTGCATGTCCCTCTGTGTCTGCCTGTCTTTATACAAGAACAAATCTTCCTGCCCTGCCTGTTTCCCAGCAAACAGCATCCTGTAGCAGTACAGCTTGACAAAAAATCCTCTGTGCGCCTTTAATCCAGACATTAGGAGGGAGCATTTATATCAGGGATGTTAACCTTACTAATTAGCCCTCTGTAATCTCTTGTTTTTCCTAAAACAGGAACACCTTTGAACAGTTCCAATGAGCCGGGCTGGATAAACACAATTACTCACATATAGACTTGCATATCGGATTTATGGGTGTCCAGGATTTTGGCCATTTGGGCAAACAATGACTGTATCACATGGGACATACGGTAGGCATCCCTCACCTCAGCAGCGGATCGACGGCCATCCACGGTGTGCTCGCTGCCCCCGGCCAGGCCCCCGCTGCCATCCCAGTCCCTACCACAGTGGAAGTGCAGCTGCACAGCTGTGAACTTCCAGGGCAGCCCCCCCAGTTGCCAGGCGGGCAAGGACATCTTCACTGCAACACAGGAGATGGGAAGGCGTGGGCGGGCCTTGTATGCGCTCACATGGGAACGGGAGGCGGGAGTCTGGCCCGGCGAGCAGCAGCGTCATGGACGAGGAGCGGGAACCACGGGGACACCGTATGAATGCGTGACCCAGGAATCACAGGCCAGGCAAAGGCAACAAAGAAGTCTTTCAGCGTGGCGAACCGGACCATTCTGGGCCAGCGGGTTTGACAATGATCCGTTCAGAACAGCTGAGCAGAGCAGGACATGATGAGAGTGCCAACGCACGGGGGCGTCAACGAGGACATAATGTTAGCATTGACTTATTTAGTTATTAAGGCGCAGGATGAGATAAACTTACGTGGCTGTTTACAAAAGCGCTTGTCTGTCTGGCATTATGGGTAATTATGCATTAACTACATGCTGCTGTACACAGTTCAGGGACCCCCCCCGCTGCCTCACCTGTGTGTCCATTGTTGGACAGGGTGAAGGGATCGTGGCCGGGCTTATGGTAACCCACAACTTTGACGGGCATCAGCGAGGGGTCGTGATGCAGGGCGGAGGTCTCCACATCGATGGGGGACTGCCAGACCCCCCCGCAGTCGGGGAAGGACTTTGACCACTGGGCCATATCTGGTAGGGAGAGGTGATGCTCAAACGGGCTGCAGTGTGGGTGATGCCAGGCCCCCCAGCAGTGGATTAGTGTTTTAATCCATCCTGAATGAAGCCCGAGCCCCAATTACAGGGGTCTGACTGCTCTGTCTTTCTTACAGCACTAAGGCCTATAGTTTCATTTTTGTGTTTTTGGGTTTCATTTGGAGGGACTTTGGTGTGATAAATTCATACGAATCACCCATAGTGTCCATTCATACAAATGCAAGGAAAGTGTGTGTGTGTCTGTGTGTGAGAGAGAGAGAGAGAGAGAGAGAGAGTGATGGGCAGACAGACATGAAATGAAATGCAGGGACAAAAGCCAGCAAGGGGACAGCAGACAGCGGGAGGGGGGATGGGAGGGTCCCTCTCATCCGACAGTGGCGGGTAAAACGGGACCCAGAGCGTGTTGAGGGACAGACCCAAAGGCCAATCATGCGTATGTGATGAAGCTGCAGATCGCAGCCCAAGCTGAGAGGCGGGTGTCGCCGCACACCCCTGTGAGACTGGAGGAAAGGGGGGGGGGGTGGCAATGAATAGGGAGAGGGGTGCGGATTCGCTACGGAGAGTGGGGACAAAGGAGGGGAGATGCAGCTGAAAGAGAGAGAAAGGGTGGCTCACAGCCTGCTGCTGGGTTTTGGGTCTTACGATGTTTAAATGTCGTATTCCCAGTCTGTAATGCTGAAAGCAGCATTTATAAGATTATTGTTCGCTTAATGCACAGCATTTACTTTTAGCTATCTACTACTTACTACTTTACTTCTGTTTTTTATTAATATTCATTGATTAACTTCTCCACAGTCTACACCCTACTTTTAGCAGGCAAGCCCACTCACTAGCAAGTCCAGGGAGGGGGGGGGGATGGTGTGGTCAGTCTTGGACCCCCAGAGGTGTTTTTTGATTCCTCTTCTCCATTGTCATCTGGCTTTCTTTCTTTCTTTCTTTCTTTCTCCTCCCTCTTCCCATTTTTTGTTTTATTCTGTCTTAACATGTACAATGTATCACAACGCATGTAAGTCCTATGTAAAGCACCTTGGAGCGATTCTGTTACGAAAGGCGCTATATAAAAATTAATTAAATTGAATTAATATTAATATAACCAAGACCTTTTTATAACCTTGTGTTTTTTTTTAAGATTTTTAATCATATGGGTTCCTGGGACATCACAGCAAGTTCATATTTCAACTGGCTTTTGATTTTCCTAACCTGGAACTCACACGGTGCTGCTCTCATCCATAAGCAGCTCTCCTCTGTGCCTGACCACCGCCCCCCCCTAACCTCTGACCACCCCTCCATCAAAAACAGAGGACAGAAAAAACGTTGTCGCCTAGCTTTGCGTTGTCATGGAAATCGCCTTGACAACACCGAGACTCACATCCCGCCATTCTAGCCCTAGCTTGGTGTCCTAAATACTGCAGAGCATTCCGCAGCACATGGACCCGCGCGGCGGGACGCTCGGCAGGAATGCTCATGCCGGCAAGGAAGCACAGCGGCTTATAAAACTGCACACATGCAGCTTGGCACTGCCTACTGTCCCCCCCGTTTACTGTAACATTACACGGGATGAATTTAGCATGTACTATACACAGCTACCTGCTGGAATTTTAAAGTCACAAGACTTATTCTTACTTTGACAGGACATCAGTGGAGTTAAGAACACGATGTACCGTAGGTCTAACATACCCTAAACATGATAACCAGCCACATGGAAGTACCTCCCCTCGCAGGTACGAAGCCACCAGCTTCACTGACCCAAAGGGGACCCTCTTCCATCTCTCCTTCCACACGGAGCTGCCAGACTCCTTTTCTGTCACCCACTCACTCGTCCCCCAGTCCCCTTTCTTCCTGTCCCCCTCAGTGTGACCGTCTCTCCGCTGCCAGCATGGCCAACTGCCCGGCTGCGAGTAGCAAACAGCCGAGTGCGGCAGAGAGGGAGCCAAATTCAGGACTTTAGAGGAGAACAGGAGAGTTGGAGAGAGAGAGAGACAGAGAGAGAGAGAGTACAATGAGGATGAAGATGGAGGAAGACGAGCATACAGATGACCGAACCTTAATTAGACGTAAGCGTGTCGAGGCAACAGGGATGCAACTGTAATGATAACATACAACCTACTACTGTTTGGGGCTTCAAAACTACAGCTAAACCTCAAAGACACGTATGTAGAGTTTTCATTTTACCTTTATATGTCCAGTGTGAATCTGAAATAAGGAGAGAACATAGTGTGAAGTGCATTCACTTAATGAACAAAGATAAAGGAAGACTGTTGTTAGTACTCACTTGCGGTTGTAGACCAGTAGTCAGTTAATCAGAATGATAGTACAAAGACTTTTCATTACACTATCATTTAAAAACCAAGTACAGTTATTAACAGCTCAGAGAAATGGAGTGAGGAATGAAAGACATTTTAATATTGCCCTTACCAGCATCTGCACCATCTATCCAGCGCAAGAAAAAACAAAGTAGAAGTGTCCCCAGATTAAACGAGTCCATCGCCCATGCAGGTGCAAAGAGACGGGCAGCAGATGAGGAGGTGGATCGAGGCTCGAGTGCAGTTAACTAGTCTCTCATATCACCCTTCTGTGCACTATGAGTGATAGACAGTGATAGATACGGACACTGGCTCAGAAGAGATAAGCTGGAAACCGCAGTGCTGAACAAACAAGTCAGCAGAGACCGCAATCCAGTCCGGCGCAAACCAAGTCTGAGTCAACCGAGAGGCTGAGAGGGAATAAAAGAGATTGGGAGGGGGACTTGTAAAGAATGGTGGGCACAGTGAGTGGGATTTGGAGGGGGGGAGGGGGAATAGAAAGGGTGGCAGAGAAGGTAAAAATGTAAAGTCTGGGAGGAAAGTTAAAGAGAATAAATGGAAAATGCAAACAAAATGTGTGTCTCAGGCTGCAGTTAGGGGGTTCTGTGCATATGGTGTGAAAAAGTGTAGCTGGCTTCCCTTTCTCCGAATGGCCTGCTTTGTGAATCTCATCATGCTGCTGCAAAGCAATCGTGTAAACAGATACAGAATAAGAGCTGGAAGACAACGTGGGAGAGCAAACAAAATGTCTCTGTGAGCTACTGGTCTGTGAGCTGTCTCTCTGTGAGCCACCTCTCTGTCAGTTGTCTCTCTGTGAGCCACTTCTCCATGAGCCACCGCTCTGTGAGGCACCTCTCTGTCAGCTACCTCTCTCTGAGCTGTCTCTGTGAACTACCTCTCTGTGACCTACCTCTCTATGAGCCACCATCTGTAAATCCACTGTCTGCTCAGCTTTCCTTAGAGCAGGCTTCATTCTACAGCTGTCCCACATCTCTATGTGAGCTCTGCTGTATCTATAGCATGAACACGGCCTGTGCCAGCCTCAGGTACTGCAGCGGTGTGGAGGGGACAGTAACTCATAGGTTTGGTACAGATGCTGGTAGGTGAGCAAATAAAGCAAAGACAGACAAAGCAGAATCTGCAGTTGCATCAGCAGCTGTGTTTATGGTAGTTTAAGCTAAAGCAATCAGTTTTAAATACAGAGTCTAGATTTATTAATTAAGACCAAGGGGACATGCTTCAAGTACACTGATCTCAGTGTGTGTTTGTACACGTTGATCAGCTCAGTTCAATAAGGAGGACCCAAGCCTTGTATGTATGTCTGACCTAAATGTAAATAGACGGAACTGAAAATAAATATGGCTAAAGTTACTCACTGTGGTTAGGATACTTTTGAATCGCTGACAGCAAAATAGTGGAATAATTTGACCTGTGATATAAAAATGCATGTATTAATACCTCTTTATCTTCAAAGGTTTACCAATGTTTCCAAGCTGTATACAGCACATCCTAGACAGGGAATTCAATGACAGGTCTGTAGAGAAAATTACACCAAGGCTACAGTTATTGTTCTGCCCGTGTCATCATGGGGTTTCCTCCAGTTACTCCGGTTTCCCCCTTGAGACCAAAAAATGTGCTGAAGTTCACTGGAGTTGCCAAACTGCCTGTAAGCATGAATTTGTGTATGAATGGTGTGTGTGCCCTCTGATAGGTTGCCACCCTGTCCTGGGTTGTTCCCTACTTTGCACCTGTAGCTTCTGGGACAGGCTCTGAACCCCCACTATCTATAGCAGACATGCGGGCACAAAAATTGGGTGGATGGATGGATTGTAAACTGAATTATAATGCCTTCTAGGGTTGTGTACATGGCTCGCAAATTCTGGCAAAATTTCTAGCCCATGTATGTCCCAAAAACAGCTAAATTTGTCCTGAAATGAGGCCAAAATAATTTTGGTATCTGACATGCAGTGGTAGTGTGGTCTAAGTGCCGGAACCTAATTAAAGGAGTTTCAATGTCTCTTTAAATACAAAACCTGAACTGTTGTCTTGCTTCTCCAGTCCAAATTGCAACATTATTCCTGCCATTCAGAAGAATAATACTTCTTAAATGTAATAAAACATACACTGTATGGATAAAAGTATTGGGATACACCTCTTAATCATTAAATTCAGGTGTTTCATTCACACCCATTGCCACAGCAGTATAAAATCAAGCACCTAGGCATGCAGTCCGGCTTGCAAACATTTGTGAAACAATGGGTTGTTCTGAAAAGCTCAGTGAATTCAAGTGTGATACTGTCATTGCAATAAGTCAGTTTGTGAATAAAAAATATTTGTGGAAAATATTCCACGGTCAACTATAAATGTTAATATTGCAAAGTGGAAGCATTTAGGAACAACAGAAACTCAGCCAAGAAGTAGCAGACCATGTAAACTAAAAGTGGGGTCGCCAAGTGCTGGGGCACATAGTGCAGAAAAGTCACCAATGCTCTGTTGACTTAATAACTGTAGAGTTCCAAACTTCCTCTGGCTCTAACCCCAGCACATAAATTCTGTGGACCGAAACTTCATTGAATGGGCTTCCATGACCGAACAGCTACATGCTAGCCTCACATCCCGAAATGCAATGCCAGGTGTTGTTATGGTGGAGTATGACAAAGGAGGAATGATTCATGTAGCAACTCTCGACAAAGACGGTTTATTAAATAGAACAGAGCACAAAGGGAAAACCAGAAAACGATGGGGCCATGAGATAAGAAACATTAGATAAGAACAAGAATTAATGATAACTAACCACAAAGAAAACTAACACTAAAAATACAGCTAAGAAACCATGTGGGGACTGAGCAAGGAGCAGAACCCTAAAAACACAGGAACTAACACACAGTAATGAAACAGGACAAGGAAACGCATATATACACACGGATAACAGGGGATAACAAGGGCAGGTGTGGGCTATAACAAACAGACTAGGGGCAATGAGGAACAGATGAGGTCAATCAACAGATACAGAGAGGTCCTAATACCGAGGAAAACTGAACATACTACAACCAGGGGACAGGGAACAAAAACAAGGGACTGTAGCTGAAATACACAAGCACATAATAAACCAAGAAAAACATTAAATAAATATTAAATAACTACCCACAACAAAAGAGGAGTCTGGACTACAGCTGGCCGCTTAGCCTGCTAAGCCTCGCGGCAATCAGGGGAACAGGAAAACACTAGGAGTGAAGGACTCAGGATGGCCAGTGACACCTGCTGGCCAAACAGGGAACAGACATAACAAAGGAGCAGGACAGGGACCGAGCATCGGATGGAGTGGTGTAACACACGCCGCCACTGGACTCTGGAGCAGTGTAAACGTTCCGTGGAGTGAGCAATCACACTTCTCTGTCTGGTGTCTGATGGACGACTCTGGTTTTGGCAGATGCTAGAAGAACGTTACCTGCCTGACTGCATTGTGCCAACTCTAAATTTTGGTGGAGGAGGGATAATGGTATGGGGTTGTCTTTCAGTGATTGGGGTAGGTCCCTTAGTTCCAGTGAACGGAACTCTTCATGTTTCAGCAAATCAAGACAATTTGGACAATTCTATCCTTCCGACTTTGTAGGAACAGTTTGAGGAAGGCAGATTTCTGTTCCAGCATGACTGTGCCCCAGTGTGCAAAGCAAGGTCCATAAAGACATTGTTGGGTGAGTTTGGTGTGGAACAACTTATCTGGCCTGCACAGAGCCCTGGCCTAAACCCCCTCTAACACCTTTGGGATGAAGTAGAATGGAGATTGTGAGCCAGGCCTTCACGTCCAACATCAGTGCCTGACTTCACAAATGCTCTTCTAGATGAGTGGGCAAAAAATCCCACAAACACACTCTGAAATCCTGTGCAAAGCCTTCCCAGGTGAGTGCCAGCTGTTATAGCTGCAAAGGGGGGGACCAACTTCATATTGATGACAATGGATTTAGAGTGGGATGTCATAAAATTTACTGTAGGTGTAATCATCAGGTGTCCCAATACTTTTGTCCATATAGTGTACACTGTAAGAAGCTTGGGGGCTAGGGGATGCCTTTTTCTGGGGTATGAGCCACTGTCCCTTAGAACGCCTGTACACAATACGCCCATAGAGTGCCTTCAGAAAGTATTCAGACACCTCATCAATCTACACTCAATACCACATAGTGACAAAGTAAAAACAGAATGTTAGTTCAGTCACACTGTGGTCAGGCACAGATCTGGGGGAAACTGCAAAACATATTTTTGCAGCATTGAAGGTTCCCAAGAGAACCCCCAGCCAAATTGAGCAGCTGGTGAAGAAGGGTCTTGGTAAGAGGGATGACCAAGGACATGATGGTTACTCTGGCTGAGCGCCAGAGATTCCGTGTGGAGATGGGAGAACCTTCCAGAAAGACAACCACCACTGCAACCTGCCACTGATCAGTAAAAGCCTCAGTAAAAGAAAAATGAAAGCCCACTTGGAGTTTGCTTAAAGCCATCTGAAGGACTCTCAGACTATAAGAAGCATAATTCTCTGGTCTGATGAAACCAAAATTGAACTTTTCAGCCCCAGTTCTAAACATTATATCTGAAGACAATCAGATATTGCCCATGACCTGCACGATACCATCCCAGTGGTGAAGCATGATGGTCATAGCATCATGCTGTGCAGGTGTTTTTCAGTGCCAGGGACTGGAAGGCAAGTAGGATAAATGGAAAGTTGAACAGAATAAAGTACAAAGATGTCCTTAATGAAAACCTGCTTCAGAGCACTCTGGACCTCAGACTCGGCTGAAGGTTCGCCTTCCAGCAGGACAATTAGCCTATGCATAAAGCAAAGACAACACAGGAGTAGCTTACTGACTACTCTGTGAATGTCCTAGTGTAGCCCTGTCAGAGGCCAGATGCAATTGAACATCTCCAGAGGAACCTGAAACTAGCTGCCCACTGATAGTCCCCATCCAAAATGACAGAGCTTGAGAGGATCTGCAGAGGAGAATGACAAAAAATCTCAGATTCCAAGTGTGCAAAGCTTGCCATACCATACCCAAGAAGACTCAAGGATGTAATCGCTGTCAAACATGTTTCAGCTAAGTACCGAGTAAAGGATCTGAATATTTATGTCAATGTGATGTTTCAGTGTTTCATATTTACTAAATTTGTGCAGATTTTAAAATCCAGTTTTTGGTTTGATTGTATTGGAGTATTGATTGTAAAATGAATTTAAACGATTTTAGCCTAAAGCTGCAACATAAAAACTGAAAAAGAGCCGGTATCTGGATCTGGACACCTTATGAATGCACTGTATAATGCTTTGCCCTTTACCTATGTAACCTATGGGCGGAGAGAGACCTCGTTCAGTTTTGATCATGTAAAATCTTATTTTACGACTACGGCTAATTCTAAACCGGCTGAAATACCAGCACACACTGTCTCGTTCTTTTACTGCCAGGTCGAAAATCGGCTCGATCTGGTCTGAGCACGGCGGAACCGGAACCATTCCTTCTTTTACGTTTCTCTCCGGACAGTAAAACGTGTCCCACGTGCTTTCAACATGGCGAATCACCTGCGTTTCGTGGCACGGACGGTTATGGTGCAGGATGGAAACGTAGAAGCGGCTTATCGCGCTTTAAACAGGTTAGTCTTTTGTCATCTTGTTATATATTTGTCGATATGAGTATGCGGCGTTTTCTCAAGTTGATCGTAGCTGGTAAGCCGACGAGTGAGGAGGGTCGTCGGTCATATCAACCTTGGTAGCTGAGATTCTGAAAATGTTCCTTCTTGCTGGGAAAAATACAAATTGTTCTTTCATAAATGTAAAATTTTATTTCGATTTGTTTGTGTTCAAAAGTTGATCCGATTGCATATTGATGAATAAAACTTTTCCTTGATCGCATTTGTCTAGTTGAAAACGTTATTAAATTAATTGCCAAGTTGGTATCTGCTAATTATAATAATTTGCGTGTCATAAATTATAAAAGCTCCCAAGGTGTCGTTCTTTGTTTTGATAAACAAAGAAACGTGTATCTGACACAAACCATACGCCTATGTTATATACTTTAGGGTACGTTGTTTTGATTGATATTAAAGTTGTATAGCTCTAAACCCGTCAATGACATTTTAAGTCTTTAAAATGTAGGACAACGGCAGATGTAAGATGACCTTACCCAGTCCTTTTATTCTGCTGTGAACTTGATTAGATGTTTCTTCAAAATGTTCTTCTGTTCTTGGGAAAAATGGACTTTCAATTTCGCCATTCAGAGTCAGAGTCAGAGTACAGTAGTATCTTTAACATGCCAGGAAGGTTAAATGTAAAACAAAAATCTATGCCTTTCATAATTGTTTTTCCAACTAAATAATTAAATAATCTCATAACATGGCTTAGCTCTGTAATGGCTCTGTAATGGCATTGTTTTTTTTAACACATAGTCAGAGACTGTTTTTCCCCTTCGCCATGAATATTTATTAGGAGGCACGTATAAAGGTTTATTGAATCTAAAAGATTGACAGTTGGAAAGAAGCATTCATTTGAGCAGAATAACCACACGATTATTCCCCTTTCCAAAAAACATTCTTAATGACCATAATGATCAATCCAGAGTTCAGTTCTAATCCGGTGAATGAGAACCATGCAGTGTCTGCTTGCTTACAGCCTTTGGCCAGAACATGCCCATCACACTTCCTGGCGATGGGAGTTTCTCGGAGCAATCTAAAAATGGCATTGCACCAAAGCTGAGTAACACGTAGAAGCTCCTTTAGACTGAAAGACTTAGACTGTTAATTAGACCTGTGAGGTTACTAAGTGTTACTCAGTGCAGGTAATGCTGTGTTGGATTCACGAAATGTCCAGACAGGCTCCTTGTCTAAATTTAATAACTGATATTTTATAAATAGACTTTGAAATTTTGCCTTGTTAAAACATGAGACTAAATCCTTCTGAATGTTATTATGCAACAGCCCTATCATAGGATGACTCCCATTGGTTGCTTTGCTGTTTAATAGGTGGGCTTGGGCCATCCTCCTCTACAGCCATTGGTTAAATGGCTACTGAGAGGTGTAGCTTATAGATTTCATTCACAAATCCTTAGCCCAACAACTCTGTACATGTGCTGCCAGCTCTTAAAGGGGAAGGTGTTTCTACTGCAGTAGAGGAAAGACATGCTGGTGCAGATTCTCACAGTTTAGCCACAGAAATTAGGCTGCTTGCTCTCAACCTTAGTATTTCATCAGTGTCTTCAACATATCTTAAGAGTATTATGGGCTGTCTGATGGTGATAAATCTTTCTTCTTCTGTGATAGAGAAGTTACGAAAGCTGTATAAGCGCCGTAACTTTTTTAGGATTAATTAAAATAACTAATTATGCCTCATGATTTGACCCAGCAAAGACGTGTCAGTTCGGTCCTTGCTTAGACAGGATGTTTGACATAAAATCGCTCTGAGTACGTGTCACAGGGTGTCCCCTGTCCCCTCACCCATGCCTGCAGGGTGCTGACTGTGGACGGACTCATCGAGACGGTCCGACGCAAGCGCTACTTCGAGAAGCCGTGCCGACAGCGCCAGCGGGAGCATTATGAGGCATGCCGGCGCATTTACAACTCGGAGATGGGCCGCAAGCTGGCTTTCCTCTCACGAGCACACAGGCGGGATCCCTGGCTGGGCTGCTGAGCGGGGGATGGGCGGGACGGTTAAACCCCCCCATCCCTGGCCCACTGGCTCCTCCCCCTTTGGCTCTCCCAGCCGGGGTCACCCTTAACCCTGCTGCTGATTGCCCACAGACTGTCTCCGCCCTGAGTCACCGTGACTTTGTTTAAATGTTAAAAAAAAAGATGTGAAGTTTGAGTCTGTCATGTCCTGGGAATGATCCCTGTTTGGTCAGACTGTTACCTTCTCCTTTATGTCATGTTCAGTCCCCTTATATTGTGTCAAAAAGCCATATTACCTGTTAGATGATTGATAGGTTGTTCTACAACTTATATAAATAAAATGCTCTGTCCACTGTAATACTGGTTATCTATTTTTGTCACTGAACCTATGTACAATCTCAAAATCAAATATATCACTTAACCAGAACAGGCTCAGAGTAGAACAGAGTACAAGACAGGAAAATAGTCAGGATGGGGTGTCAATCTGGCGGAAGGTACACACACACACCATAGAAACCTACACATCGTGGGAAGAGCATGCAAACTTGACACCAACATGGGGGTGGTCCCACCCTTAGAGGTAGGTGAGGTGGCAGTGTTCCCCACTGTGCCACCCTATAGCTGAAATGTTCTATATTTTTGGTTATTAACATGAAAAAAGTGTGTATATTATCATGGATGGATCTGAGTGTATTATGTTTATGTGCTATTAACAGTGGACGCCAGAGGGCGTCTGAACTGCCTCTTTCTGTCACCGGGACGTGACGACTATTCGCTGAAGTAGTACGACGTAAATACTTCATAGAAGTTGTTATTTTAAAAGTAGTACAATAGTGAACTTAAGTGGTGATTCCAGTCTGAAAAAGTACCATATGTTAAATTTTGCTAAAACGTCTAATAAAATGCTTGTCGGTAGCGCGAAAAGAAAACCTAATTCAATTGTTTTCGTATAAAAAATATAATTTTGTCGCAAATATAGCTAATCGGGATAATCCATTCTTTAACATTATTCCACCTGAGACCTAGGATTATGAATTTATGCGGTCTTAAGTGTGCATCAAGGAACCACTTAGAAAATGCTATATATTTGTCAATACAAGACATGCGAAATATGGGCAATGGTATTGGGTCAGATAAGCATTAATCATTTAAGTGATCGATACAACCAATAAATACTGAAGATGGTTATGCGAGACAGTATTTCTACATCTGTCAAAGTGCAACGTGGATGTGTATCTACGTGCAAGGTGCTTCATCTGAAGTCCAGTGCTTTATTTGGATACCTAGATATGGTGAATATTTGTGTCTAATTATTGTTGGCTACTTCTGTGCCCGTATTGCAAATTGCATAATATGTTTATACCGTTTTGTTCGTATGCACAAATTTTACACATAATCTAGCATGACGCGCTACTACAGCACCACACCGATCATGTGTCTGTAACTGCACACTGCTAGATTGTAGTACGAAGCCCTACATTCGTTACCACATGCATGGGCGGGGCCACGCATACGAGGAGTCTGCCCAATCAGCTAGCTTGGCATCTCTCACTGGTTATGTCATCCACCAACCAGAGCGCGATCTCGCTGGTGTGCAGCCAATGACTGAGCGAACGCCGTCCGCACACTGTTCTGCACGTGTAGCCTCGCACATGTTGACGCTTGCAATAAACTGGAGGAGAAGACAGAATAAGCCGAAGAGAAAGCGAGGGGAGTCAGGGAGAGGCGATCGGCCGGTTGGCTACTCGTGTGAAGACATTTCTAAGCCACTGTATCGACATTATTATTTACTTTTCCAGATTTGCAAATAAATTGTACTAACGCTGGTCTCTGACTATTGTGGTTCCGTCAGTTCATGGTGAGTTATTTTTTTTTTCGCTGTAGATTTGTTGCTTGTAAGCTTGCTAGCTTATTAGCCACATTCCTTTGCACAATAACGTTCTGCATTAACATCAGTTTTTTGGATACGCGATTGATCTCAGTGTTTTGCATGCTTATGTAAATGTGTGTTAGGCGAAGGCGTCTTCACAGGGATATTTTAGATTAAATAATATTTTTTTTCCATGTAATTTTTACAAACTGACAGGGGACAAGCCTACCTCAGATAAGGTATTTATAATTATATGATGACCCTTAAACGTATCATGGAGGGTGTTAAGAATAGCAGTTGTGGAGTTTATTCTGCGTTGACCAAAATGTACTCTAGTAATCATGCAATTTGCCATTGAAAATGTTATTAAATTTAAACGTTTAGCGAAAGTATTTGATTGTACAGAGAGACACAATTGAATTCAGATAAATATATGTATATCTTAGGATTAAGAAATAAATCAAACCCGTTTAGGAGACAGTCACAACAACACAAACATTGAGGCACATGACAGCTACGACACACAAATACACGTTCGGTGTCATCTAGAGCCGGCAAAACCACGACAGGGTGGGGTGACATGAGGACAGAGAGTAACAGACCAGAAGCAAAATGGGAGTAGCTATCCTGGCAGAGGTATTTTGAATTTACTAGTAGTTTTTTCTTGTTTGCTTTTACTGATCTATGCATAGGAAAATGTTTGAACGCATGCGTAATAATGCGTGTCACACGTAGACTTTGTGCAGAAGCATTCCCGTGAGCGTTCGCGCAGGTGAGATTAAAATGTGCCTTGTACTGAGTTAATGAGCGTGTGTGTGTGTGTGTGTGTACAGCGCGGGCAGGGCTGTTGGCTGCATCGATTCACGCGCCTGCGGACATGCCCGCGATCTCACGTGACGCCTGTCGCTAGTTTTCCTGTACAGCGAATTTTAAGGCCAGTGGGGGCTCCTATATTTGAGGAGAGAGTAGGAGAGGGGGAGTGAGAGGGTGGTGTGGGGTGGAGAGAGTAACATGGGAGATGGAGGGAGGGAATGGCAGGGGGGGGTGCTGTTTGTGAATCAAAAAGAGGGAGAAAAACAAGTGGAGACACAGAGGACATGTGAGGCATGGAGAAAGTGAGAAAGAGACCCCCAGTTATCGGGCCAGTATACAGATAGCCTCAGCTCCCACTGCCTGGTTTAAAGAATGCAGGCTTTTCCACTCAGTAACCCCCCCCCCCCTTGCTAAAACTCTTTAACTGCATTGTTGCAGAGGTTGACAGTGTGCATTTTCTGCAGAGCTCTCCTGGAGCTTGTTCATTACTATGGTCACAGCAGTCCTCCAAACCCCCTTGCCCCCCCCTATAGTGATGCAGTCCTCGCACGGCTCCTTGTGCTCCAACGACAGCCTCTCATTCAGCGACGCCGACCACACGGAGGAGGACGCAGACGTGTTCCTCCCTCAGGACGCCGGCGGCGAGCGACAGCCCGGTCACACCCCCCTCCCCCGGCACGATGCCGGCGTCTCGCACCTGAGTTCATGGCAGCATCACCATGCTTTCGGGAACGGGGACAGGTCCCTCGGTGGGAACGACCCGCACCATGTTTTCCACTCCATGCTGGTGACCTCAACTCGCAGAGCAAGCCGGGACAAGGGGAGTCCGAAGCAGACTGAGGGGGGGTCACGCTTCACCCAGAAGGTTGGTTTTAACCTTGTTTTTGGTCTTTAACTTTCACTGTTCCTATTAATGAAGGATCTTGCTGTGGTTCTCACTTGATTATATTCCTAAGACGTGCAAACCAGCCGGTTCATCCTTTCACTGTCTCACAGTGTGCAGAACTTCAGGTCTTCGTCAGGCCCCTGCTGGACCTTCTGAACGGCCTTAAGAATGGGAGGTTCGACAGAGGTATACGTCTCCCTCCTGCTTCACCTCGCAGCTTTGCGCTTGCTGATATGAGGCCAATTTCTTAATTAGCTCGATCTGAATTTGCGATGGAGCTTATTTTATTTGATTGACAGGTCTTAACAGTTTCCAGCAGAGCGTTGCTATGGATAGAATACAGAGGATTGTGGGAGTTTTGCAGAGACCCACCTCTGGGTAAGACCCTGCTGCCCGCTGTTCCCTAACTTGTACCAACTTGTACCTTAATGGGTGACGAGCAGCTCCTGTTTCTGGAGACGACTTCTCAGGCTCCTCCCTCTCTGTTCTCCTTCTCCTCAGAGAGAAGCACCTCCACACCCTCCTCCAGGTGGAAATGCTGCTAAAGCTGTGGTTCCCGGGTATCCCCCACCACGCCCCCGCCGGCCCACGGCTGCCATCAGGCCACAATCACCCCCCAGTCACCCCGCCCCACAAACACAAAGACCAGCTGCACATACCTGTCAAGGTGGGTCCTCTAAACAGGAAGCTCACCGATCTGCGCTATTTTTGCCACTAAAAATAGACGTGCGATCAGTCAAGCATCACCAGCCGCTGCAGTTATTGAAAATACAACCCTGTTGCTCTTCCAGCACTTCTTATACTGATATTTCCAGCCCTGGTTACTAACCCATGTTGACACGTTGTTGAAGATCATGTTTTGTGAGTGTCGTTGGTTATAGAGTGTTTGTGTGGGTTATGTATATATTACATTGTGAGGACCAAATGCAATGTAATAAAAACCTGTTATTTTGACATTACGAGGACCATTTTATTTCAGTTCACACAAAGAGAAACTCAATTTTATAAAAAAAATATGTGTCTGCAATCAAAAAAACTAAAAATGGCAAAAGTCTTGTATTTACTTATAGTTAATGTTAGGGCTGGGTAGGGGTTAAGGTTGTCATGTTGGGATTAGGGTTATGCCCATAGAAATGAATACAAACATGTGTGTGTGTGTGTGTGTGTGTGTGTGTGTGTGTGTGTGTGTGTTTGTTTTTACACATTCCACTCCGCTTCTCAATCTCACAATTTATTGTCTGTTCCTCATCTACTGCAGAAGCGCAAGCTGAGCTGGTCAGACACGGACAGCACCAACTCACCGACTCTCAGCTTCCGACAAGTGAAAGTGGAAGAGGAAGGAAGAGACGGCCACAGGGCAACAGCAGTGATTGGCTCAGAGCAGAGAGGGGGTGCAATTACCGGGTTAGAAGATCCAGTGGGAACTGGGAAAGACGATAAGGTGGATACTAGGGAAGGACAATCATCTGGTTATAAAGTCACCCACGTGTCTGAGCCAAGTCTTACTTGGGTCCATGTTGCACCTATACTTAGCCCCCCGAAATCTTGCCCCTCCCACAACAGCAGAGAAAGCAAACATGGAAATTTTACTGTAGTTGCTGTTACCCCTCCAACCACTAGGGGCAGTCCAGCAACACAGGACAGCTCCATCTCCTCTACCACCCCATTTTCAGATCCATGCCACCTTTCTTTTCAGCTCTACCAGCCAATGGAGTTCCAGCGTGAACTTGTTGCGGCAGAAATTGTGGCGGTGGGGAGTAAGGCCATGGAGATATATCAGGGGCGGAGTAAGTCTCCTCGTCTTTGTTGAAGCTTTTAAACGCCGCACGTGAAACTGGGAGCTACACGCAGACCTGAAACTTGGCACACAGGTATCCGGAATCCAACCTGTGTATTGGATTTTTGTCACTGCACTAATTTCTTTGTTAGGGTGGAAGGATGTCGAGTTAAGGTGATTTTGGGGAGTAATTCTTTTTATAATACTTTTTTGTTGTTGTATCCATTTCCAAAGTTGTGTAATTGCTAATTGGAGGACCATCAAAGGAGTTCATAAGAAAAGCATGTTGATTTCCATGACAGAATCGTACCTTACGCAAGTACTATTGGTTAATCCACTCATCTATGGCATGTAAGACAGTACTACCATAAAAAAGTGGGTAAATTCCTCCACTGTGAGCTTATGACTGCTGGTAGTGTAGCAATATCAGTCTGACATTACAAATCGTGAACTGTGATGGTACGAAAATCGTTTACCTCATGTGGAAGCAGCCACAAGGCGTGAAGTATCACTGTAGGACAACGTCCAACCTTTCAAAGTGCTACTTGAACCAGGACATCAGTGTTATAGAAGGTGGCGGTAACCATGGTGATCTTTGTAAGCAACAGTGTTACCAGTAATGAGGTAGATGTGGTAGATCGGACTGAAGCCCCAACAGGGAACCAATGTCCTAAACTCACAGTCTTTCAGCATCAAAGGCTACATTTATTTAAAGGGCAAGAGTGAAACAGGAACATGAGTCTGCTTTGCAGAGCAACAGAACCAAAAAGCTTCATAATAAAAATATAAAAGCTGGGTCAAACTGCCAAATAAAATAATCTCACAGTTGGGCAGTTTTTCTCAAAGAATGTTCATAGAACTGCTTTCCAGTCTCAAACATTAGATACCTAAATAAGTTTAGCGGACCGCTGTTGAGGCCGTAGCAGGGCTAAAGTGAGCTTCCTGAGTCAGACCAGACTTCAGTATTTATTTATTCATCAATTTTATTTTTACATCTATTTATTTCTTTATTTATATGGTTATTTATATGGCCTCAGACTGATACACTATAACTTATGTACCTTGATACTTTTGCGACAATGGATTGAGTTGTTTGAATTGATTGAAAGTACATTGTAGATTGGATCACTGTGCCTTTTCAAAACTAGACATTTACAAAAGTGACTTTTATACTGTTTTTTTTTTTTTGTAAAAAAATGTGTTGTGCCCAGTGATCAGACTCCAGTTTGGATTTTCTCATAAGGCTGTGTAGTCTTAGGCTGGCTTACAGTGCCAGAACCACGACCCAACGGCACCATCGCTATCCCTCCTTCAGTAATTCAAGGAAACGTCTAGTAACCTAGCTGTGTGTGAAATCTGCGTTTCGTCCATACATAAGGAATTACATGTTTGATGTTGCTGTCCAATCTGAGAGACTTGATTAATGAGGTTAGACCACAGAACACGTGGTAGACAGACGCCAGCACACCTTGCTGTGTAGTCGCATAAGACCCTGAGGGGACGCTGTTCTTATACCAGCATCGTATAGCAGTGTAGCAGCCAGCAGCACCGTCTCTCGTTCTCTTCTCCTCCCAGTTCACCTATCCCCCCCCCCATTCCTCCTCTTCCCATTTTTTTCCACCAGCAGTTTGCACCATCCTCTATTTACTTCTGTGACTGTTTCTTAAACAATGATGTGGAATGAAAGCGTTTTAATAAACGACAGATTTTGGGCAGAAAGGCGCCTGTTGTTTTTCTGTGCTTGTCCGTGTGGTTTCAAGTGTTTCACTGAGAGACTGGGTGGTTCAGCTCCAGCAACTGGGGGGTTAGGGTTAGGGACCTCTTATTTGGTAAGCAGAGATTGGAGGGGGAGGGTAATGTGTATAATCAGACTCAGCTGCAGTAATCTGTCAGGGATTGTGATGCCTGCACACGTTTGTTTGTGTGGAGTTCAGCAGTGGCTCTGTGTCCATCTGTAAATGATAGCTGCGTGTGTAATCAAGTGTGTGCATCTGATGCTCCAGTAATCATCAGGTAAAATGTAGAACAATATTCAGAGTAATGTGCACCACAAATTACCCCTCATCTATACACAGTATACAAGAACACTGGAGAGAATTATATATGAAGAATAATAATAATATTTTTTTGCAGTGCACTGCAGCCTGGTAACACACTGGCTGGCTAATGTTCTTGCTGGCTCGTGCTCTGTGACACACTGACTGCATTAACATTGAGCTCGCCACTGGAGATGGTCCCTGCACACAGTTGCTGAGTGGCCCACCCCCTCCCTGCCCACCTGCTGTATCCATGCAGTTTTTAGCAGAGAAGTCCATGCCTGCCATTTGAAGTGGATATACCCGCCCCCCACCCTCTAGTAAGCTGGGCCATGGTGAAGGTTAACGAGGGGAAGGAGGGATTGTGTAGAGGACAAAAAGGGGAATTCAGTGTGACAGAATCAATTTATTAGCAACAATTAAATGATATTACTCTATTTTTAAATTTAAATGCACTTAAGCATTTAAAAGAACATTTCTAATAAATTAGGTACACAGTGCATCCTCCAGTTAGCATTTAAATAGTTATATTTTAATACTAGTGTAGGGGGTGGGAGATGTTTGTTTGTGCAATTGGGCCATGTTTGCTCCAGTGAGGGAGAGACACCAAGGGTACAGGCCAGAGAAAAAGGCCGTGGGGGAGGGGATGCTGTGCTTACTCACCCTTTCTGTCTGCCCCCTCCCCTGCTCGCTTTTTACCCCCCACTCCCTTCCCCCTACTGTGTTCATTCACTGTGGCGCATTAGGGCTCACACAAGCTGCTCCGGCAGAGAGGCAGTGTAAACGCGGGCCCTGTCTTCCCCTCATCTGGGGTAACCGAAGAAAGAAACACAGGTTTTCTTATTACAATTATTATGGAGAAAATGAGAAGGAATTAAGTTGCCAAACGGATGTCAAACAGTGAACGTGCACCAGCGAAACTTGGCATCTTTTGTATGCGCGAAGGGCAGGGTACAGAAAACAGCCCCGTGCGATATGAAGGATGTGTCAGTGTCACGGTCGGGCAAAAGGCGATCCGGGAAGCAGGGATACGGAGCCAGGAAGTAGGGCAAACGGGGTTTATTACGGCAGAATCCACAAGACGGGGGAAGAACGACGGGTAACATTAATGACAAGTCTGGGGAAGACTGACTCAGACGAGGACTAAATACAACAGACAAGCTACGGGTAACGAGCCACAGGTGAGAACAATCAGGGAGAAACAGGAGGTAATGAGGTGGGCGTGGCACACATTAGGAGCGGACGGAGCGGGGCGTGACAGTCAGGGCATCACGGTGGTGCGTTACAGGCAATCAAGCAGCACATCTCTGTAAATATACATCTAAGTTATAGACGTATATTTTAATGAGCATTATGGATGAGCATTTGGATATGGGAGATGTGCGAAATAAACGAAATAAAATAAAAGTGATGTGAGCCTGGGAACAGGGTTCTGAACACATAAAATAGTGACATGGTGACAAAAGGTAGACACTGCAGGCTGATGCAGTCACATAATAATGGAGAAATGCACGTGTGGTCTAGCGATGTGCCACTTGACAGGATGCAGGCGGAAGGCGGAAGATGTGGGCGGCCGCCGATGAACCGGTTCATCTGCAAAGAGTAGCGGAGTGTATCGGCTCTGGTCTTTGACCTTGGGACAAAAGGCGCTGATGACATACCTGAAAAATTCTATTAACCGAGCATGGGGGTGTCATTCAAATACACACTGCTGTGGAGCAGCGGGGAGGAGAGGAGGCAGGGAATGTGTAACCCAGTAGGGAGAGAGGGATCCTGTATAGCCCCAAGCAGAATCCACTCAAACTACTGCCACTGCACTCAGATGACCCACAAAGCAAGACGAGGGACAGGAGGAGGGCAACCATCACACAGGGGCAAAGAGAAAATAAAACTTTAAAAGACTCACTCAATTTCCTTGCTTTTCCTTTCTGCCTTTATCTGCATGTATGTTGATGTGCCAAATTTGATGGAAAAAAATGTTTAGGTAAACATATTACTCCGGAAACATGATTTTCTTCAACTGTAATTATAGTACTTGACCCCCAGCTGCTGGTTAAGCCCCAGAACTAAATCTAGTACAATAATGACAGTATATTCATGGAAGGATTAATTTGGAATTTATTGTAGATAAGCATTAGACATTAAACTATATTTGTTAAAAAGTAAACATTTTAAAGAGCTCAGTAGAGAGAATTTTGTAGGTTAAGCTGCATTTTATATTTTAAACGTTTTAAGTTTTCTACTTTTTCTGTTTTCAGTCCTTCTTTTCCTAAAATTTGATTCCAGGAGGCCACATCAGGCAGCTAATTTTAATTTTTAATCATTATTAACATAATTTGGACTTACGCACTGATCAAGTCGTTTACTTTATTTATAGAATGTTCTACTCTTATAACACCATTTTCACCCTGATTGCCCCCGTGCTTCAAATATTTCAAATAGCAACAACCATAACCAACGGACAAACAAAAAATTACAGCTGAATCTAGTATTTTATCAACATGTTTTAAGACGACGTAATTCATATTAGTAAACATGATCGAAAAACCAGCTGAAACATGAAAATTAAGTCCTAATTTGACTGGCGAAATTGACTATAATTTTTACTAGAGAGAGTATTACACTATATGGACAAAAGTACTGGGACACCTGGCCATTACACTTACAGGAACTTTTATGACATCCTATTCTAAATCCATAGGATATGGAGTTGGTCCCCCCTTTGCCACTATAACAGCTGCCACTCTTCTGGGAAGGCTTTCCACAAAATTTTGGAATGTGCCTGTGGGAATTTTTACCCATTCATCCAGAAAAGTATCTGTGAGGTCAGGTACTAATGCTAGATGTGAAGGCCTGACTCGCAATCTCCATTCTAGTTCATTCCAAAGTTTGTTTGATGGGGATGAGGCCAGGGCTGTGTGGGCCAGTCAAGTTCTTCCATACTAAACTCACCCAACAGTCACACGGGAATAGAAAAGGGCCTTCCCCAAACTGTCCAAACAAAATTGGAAGCATAGAATTGTCCAAAATGTCTTTGTATGCTGAAGCATGAAGTGTTCCCTTCACTGGAACTAAGGGGCCTAGAACATCCCCTGAAAAACAACCCCGTTCCATCATCCCTCCTTCACCAAACCACAGTTAGCACAATGCAGTTAGATAAATAACGTTCTCCTGGCATCTGCCAAACCCAGACTCATCCATCAGACTGCCAGACAGAGAAGCATTATTCGTCGCTCCACAGAACACGTTTCCACTGCTCCAGAGTCCTGAGGTGGCGTGCTTTATACCACTCCAATCGACACTTAATTGGTGATGTGAGGCTTGCATATAGCTGCTCGTCCATGGAATCCCATTTCATGAAGCTCCCAGCGCACAATTTTTGTGCTGCAGTTAATGCCAGAGGAAGTTTGGAACTCTGCGGTTACCGAGTCAACACAGCACTGGTGACTTTTATGCACTATGCCCCTCGGCAGTCAGAGACTTTATGTGGTCTGCCACTTCGTGGCTGCGTTTCTGTTGTTCCTAAACATTTCCACTTTGCAATAATATCTAGCAGGGAAAAATATCATGAACTGACTTATTGCTATGGTGGCATCCTATGACACTCCCACATTTGAATTCAATGAGCTCTTCAAAGTGACCCATTCTTTCACAAACGTTTGTAAACCTGACTGCATGGCTAGGTGCTTGATTTTATACAACTGTGGCAATGGGTCTGAATGAAACACATGGATTCAATGATTAGGAGGAATGTTGCAATACTCTTGTCCGTATATTTCCAGCTTTTCCAGCTATTAAAAAGATCATGGGCTAAGTCAAGTTCACCTGGGGCTTGTGCTTTTTTTGAAGAAAGATTGGCATCAGGGCTAAAATACTCGAGACTAGGCTTACAATACTCGGAGCTATAGCCCCAAGTGACCGTATCTAATGACGACTATGGTATATATTACGACTGAAATGTGCCACCACACAACTCCGCACCCTAGCAACCGCATAGAGATTACCGCTTGGCTATAGCCCATTAGCACGTTCTCTACTCCCATGTTGTATGACGGAGGCTATTGGGCGATGGACCAATACGTCACTTCCGCTATTAGCTAATTCCGCTTCCTGTCATCACTGGACCCGAACGTTGCGTGAACGCGGCGAGACTGGAAACTTCTTGTTGTAGAACTAGCCTCTTTGCAGCTGCCCTGTTGTTAAAGTTGCTTTATATTAAACACCGCCTCTGGTTCCTACGACTAGTGCTGTGTTCTTTGGGCTTTTCGGATATTGGTGAGCGTAAACCTTATCCTGAGTATGCTTAGGTTTCTGTGTTGCCGCGTAAAGCGGGTGTCGGGACGGCCGGGGCGAACCGCAGCTGCTGGACTTGCATCGCGGCCGCCGTGACTGCGTGTGTCGCCGCACTCCAATAA